CGGGCCCGCGATTTTCGAATTCGATCGAAACCGAGAGAAACCGTTTGCAGAATCGAAGGCCGGAAGAATCGGAATCGTAGAAATCGCGTATCGTATTCGAAGGTCGGCGAGGACCGATCGTGCGACACCGCGTTGCCGCGCGCGCCTCTCGAGAATGGCCTAGAGGCGAAAAGAGGAAAGGATCTCCTCGAGTGGCGCCGCCCGCGGCAGGAGGGGGCAAATCTCTCTCTCTCCTTCGCCGAGAGCGAGTGTCGGACCCGCGCGATATGCCCGCTGGACCACCACCACCATCACTACTACCGTCGTCTCCTCTTGGCCGCCGCTTCCATCCTCCGCCCGGCCGCCACCACCGCGCGCTACCAGGGCCGACGATGCCATCGCCGGTATCACCATCGCCGGCGCAGCTTCGTCCACCTTCGCGAGAGAGAACGCCACCCGATACCAGCTGTCCTCCGCGGCTCTCTCGTCTCCCTTTCTCCTCCGCCACTCTCCTTCCCCGAGAACAGCTCTCCTCTTCCACGACCGTGCCCACTCTCCAACCGATTCCCCACCTCGCGACCGGCAACGGCAACTTGTCTCCGTTCGACCAGCCTCGCCGCCTCCTCGTCTCATCCTCCGGAGAGACGTATCGCCACAGATGATACCGGCGGAACATCGGCGCAACCCTAGCATTTGCCCTAGGATCTCCCTTCTTTCTTTTTTTCTTTTTATCTTGTCCACGCACGATTCTGTTTCTCTGCCTCTTCTTGTCGCGTTGGCTTTCTATTTTTGGATCTTTGTGGCGAGACTCGCTTGTCTTTTCGAAATTATAAATGGAGTTGATTGGAATCGGACAATCGTTCGGATCAATTGTAATTGTTTATTAGTGAAGATGTTGGAAGATTTTTCGTTGAAAAATGAATGTAATGGATCCGTATATACGGATTGAAGTGGAAGAAAGTTTGAAAGGAAAGTATATTCCTTGTAGATCATAAAAATATTTAAATTATTAAATTAGCACGAGTCACTTACTAATAGGCTGATCTATCTGTTCAAATATCGTTTAAAACAGTTTATGAAAAAGAATAATCTGTATAATCTTAATAATCGTGTTTACATTCTACTGTAATAATGTTTTTAAAAATTTCGTGCAAAATATCATAATGCCTATCCGGTTATTTTATGCATTTTTGCATACCGCGTGTATTCTGCAAGCTTTTTCGCGTTCAAATTTTGCATAATTCCATAAATATATATCTACGATTTATATGTAACTCTACTATAAATATTCATACATACTTTTTTCACGGATCTGACGGATTCTATCGATCGCCTCAATTCCAACTCACGATCTTCAACGAGTGGTTTAATAACAGGTAACGTCTCATACTTTCGCTAATTTTCGCCTCATTACAACCGCAATCAATCTGTCAACCGAGATCGAGACGGTATCAAAGCCGGCCGGGGATCATTACTTCCGTTTCGTGTTGCGTGTTCAGTGCTGTGACAGTGGACGTCGACACCTCGATCCTTTTTGCCCGATCATCTCTTTAAATCGCTACCAAGCTTTTAGCGATCCGATCGATCCAAGTTAAATCGCGTTCGACCGGTCTCTCCCTCCCACCCTCGTCGTCCACCCTTGCTTTCTTCGTGTTCTTCGCCCGGTGTCTTCGTTTTCTTGTCACTCTACTAATTAGCATCCCGTAAGCAGAGAGCCACGAGCGACGCTATGCTCTTATTTCTTAGGATGCGATGCTTCGATGCTTTTAATCGACGTATGATTGAATGTGAATATTATTTTATCGAAGGAAAGGGAAAGAAAAAGTGGCGCAATAAACGTGGCGATAGCGTTTTCTCTAATCAAGTCTTGTTGTCAGTTGTACTTTTGTTTTGGTCGAAATTATTATTCGAGAGGAAAGATCGGTTAAAGCGATATGGAACTTGATTGCATTTTTTTTTTTTTTATTTTCCGATCGAGGAATATTAAATATTTATCAAGCGAGAATGTAAATTTGAAGCTGAGTTATGTATATATTAACAGTAATAAAAAAAGAACTATTGCTGATTGAAACATTGTAGATTTCAATTATTAAGGCAGAATGAATTATTGTATATACGCGTATTGGAAAACTCGTAATGCTCGATCGATTGTCTTATGTTCGAACAAATGCGTTTGAAAATGAAACGTTACAAGATATTGGCATAATCTTCAAGAATCATGCGATCTAGACGGATAACCATTTGATATAATCACCTTTGTACATCTTCGATATCTCGGAAAATCTAAGAAACCAGTGAAGAATATCTACGGAATTGAAATTATAAAACAGATAAACAATGTTCTCAAATTTTCCTGGAATATGAAATGAAATGAGTATACGAATTCGAGTTTCCAATCGAATTAATTAATTTCTTCTTCGATAATTATTTTCGATCGATTAATTTACCATAACGTAACGCAATTAAAATCGCGATTTTTATATCCTTTCAAGAGAGATCGTTAATAATCGATATTTTTATGAATAACGCAGAGTAAAAAAAAAAAAAAAATGTCGGCATCCTATGACAGGATCGCGTATACAGGGAGACATTCCTCCATACGTTAACCCAAATATGAGCAACGGCGAACGTGAAATAAGACGCTCATTAAGAAGGAATGTTTTGCTGAGAAACGGTTAGCAACGGTATATAATTTAAACTTGCAATAAACTCGCTTTAGAGCACACGTTGTTCTATTACCTCATGTTATATGCCGCGACTAATATTCGCGCAAAAACCAACAAACGAATAGGAGGTAACCGCCTCAACCGCGGATTTATGGTGGAATAACTGAACTGTAATCGGTTGTGAATTACGCGTCCATTGCCAACGATTACGTCATAAGTACCAATTTTCAAGAAATATTGTACCTCTTCTGAAAGGAAAACTATTGTTGCTTCCAATTATGGTGTTCTAACAGCCTTTTATATATATATTTTTCTTTCTTTATATAATCTTTATTATCGAAAATTTAGAGTTCATTCAGAAGTTTCGGTTTTATGCGTTTTAACATTTCCATACAAATTTCTTTATTTATTCCTTTAGTCCTTTCCTCTTTTTCCCATCTATTTTGAACGTTTGATCGTGGAGAGATTTATCACAAATTAATCCAGATTTTTAATAATCATATCACGGTATCGTTTCAAAGATTTTTAATTAATCATATTCGCGTTATTTTCTTTTCTTAAATTAATATTTTGCTGGAACGTCTATGAACGTCGAATTATAAAATCGATTCGATCCCTTTAAATTACGATCGAACTACTGGAAGAAATAATCGAAGATGTTGCGCTCTTATCCCGAGGATATCGATATCAGGATTTAACGAGTGAAAATATTCGGGTCAGATGAATAGGAACTGGCAACAGCGGACCTTGGAATCGCAGCTCCTCCAAAGGAGGCTGGTCCCTCCAACATACCAAGACGGATCACCTCTTTTTTCCTCTTCCTCTCTCCGCGCTTTACGCACACCTGTCCAGCTTGGACTCGAGATCTGATCCCGCTTCCTATAATCTTTCTCTTATTTCTCTTCGTTTCTCTCCTTCTTTTAAACTTTTAGCTTTTAAGCAATTCCATTGATAATTCATTTCTTATGCGATCTGTTACAAAATAAAATTGTTACAAAGATTAAATAAATGTGCAAAGACAGACTCTAATTGTCTAGAAATAAATAACGTTACATTTCATAAAATTTGTGATGACGTAAGTAATAACGAATTTATTAATTTTAATACAGAAGAGTATTATTCTGATTGTACCAAACTAAATAATCCTAACTAAAATTTCGCGACGAGGAAAACAAAATTCATACAAAAATATCGAACAATATCCACCCATATTTTTGTACAATTTGCCCACCACGCCTTCTAAAATCTTCGATTAAATCTCTTGGAAGGAGAACTTCCATCGTTGTACAAGCATCACGAGAAACAAGGATCACTCGCGAGAAAGCCACCCACGTGCGTAATTATGAGATCACTGCCGAAAACAGCAGTGGATCCATGTCCAATGGGGGAGAAAAAGGCGGTTGTGGAGAGGAGGGAGGGGGGAGGGAAGGGGAACGAGCAAAAAGGAGAATGGTTAACGAACTCGTTCGACGCATTCCCCGTGTCAGGATACAAGGGGAGATACGTCGGCCGTGTTACAAGAACGTTGCTCGATATATCGTGACGTAAGCGAGGGAATTTCGAGGAGAACGAGCGCGACGCTCGTTCGAAACGCTTCTATGAAAGTGGAACGACGCTTGTTTCTCGCTGATTTACAATGTGTTACCTGTGTAAAAATAGACCGCGATCTATAAACGAGATATACGACCGTGTAAAATTCATTGTAACTGGGAGGGAAAAAATGAAAAAAAAAAAGAAGAAGAAGAAGAAAAGAAAATGAAAAGAATAAAAAAAAGATAAAACGAAATTTGCAACACCTTTGCTCGGTAATATAATACGGTTGGTTGGACGATGGTCATTGCGATTTATGGTGATTCGAACTCTGTGGCAACAATGTTTTCCGACGTGATTATTACAAATTGGTTCGCGATACGATATTTTTGTCGAAGAGTAGAATTCATTTCAATGCTTTTTTTGTCTTGTTGCAATATTTTACGTATACGGTGTAACGAAAGAAAGATACTTAAATTCTAGAATTTACGCAATTACGTAAATTCTTTGATGGAATTTTGAATCGCAAAATTACTTGTAATAATTTGATTTAATTCCAATTCTTAAAGATACGTTTCATCTTAGAAACCTTATAACCACGAATCAAGAGATACTCATCTTGGATCCAGATACATACGTATTATATATCGATTCTCTTGGGCGTTATTCCCGCGTATATATTTCAACACCCTGTATATTTCGCGTGTGACGAAACACGATCGTCGAACGGAGGCGAAAGAGATACGTTTTTCAGATTAGAGGAGGATTGCTCGATAATGGTGGATACGTCTTTCGGGTGTGGGACGGGGCGTGCATTGACGTTCCCCGGAGAAATCTTTGAGCATATTTTCACGTCTCTTGTAAGGGTGTCTCTGCCGGATGCAGATAGCGGAGGCCGTGTCGCACAATATGTGGCCACGTATGGAAGCCGCACAATGTCCCTGATGGTAAAGGCCATCCAACCTGCACGATACGACGTAATACTGGCTCGGATAATATATTGCTGTACAAATGGCACAAAGCCCCCTTCTCCTCCCCCCCCCCCTGCCTTCACCTGTATCCGCTTATCTCCGCTCGATTTTCTCCGCGAGCGTTTTCTGTCGGCTTTCCGTCCTCGCGTCTTATTTTTTCCCCGAAAAACGCGAAAAATCGCTCCCTCGGATGGACCTATTTGTCACTCGTCTCGCGCGCGTCCATATAATGGGATAAACGAGTTGAAACGTTATTAAGAAGTATGGGGGGAGTCGAGAATTATTTACTTTGACGAGAGAGCCGTTTTGATGTCGTAGCAAGAATTTTTATGCGATCATTGGACGATTATTGGAAACGTGTTTGAAGGTTTCAGAGGTGAGGAATCTCGAGATCGCTTTGTCTTACGAAAGAATTGTCGAGAATCGTGAAGAGAAGAAATTAATTACAAAGTAGATTAGATTTTTGATTCTGAGTTATTCTAATTGTGTGAAAATTGTCACCAATATGAATTATATAGAAAAGAGTTAAAATCGTGATACGATATAGTAGAATTTTTCATAGAAACCCCTCTTTAAATATTTCCAATATTTGAATCATTTTTACATTTTTCTTTCGAATTTCAACGTGAACGTGTTGCTTGCCATAGATCGTGGAAGCTCAAGACCGGTGGACCGAGGGAGCAGGAAACAATTTAAGCAAGGAAAAGCCACGGGAATAAATGCGAGCACCGATTACCAGAAAATCACGTTGCCAATTGCGTGCCGCTGGATCGAAACGTTACGATCGCAATCATTTGACCGTTCGGACGACCGGGCTCGACCATTGCCATTTCGTTTCTTATCCATTTACCCGCGAATGATAATGGTAAATAGGCGTGGCCGAGTCGAGATTTGTTATTACAATCACGTCTTAGAACGTCGAATTGCGAGAGTCGCTTCAAATGCAGCTACGAATCGAGCCGATTTTTCCTCCTCCAACTCGTCGTTCCAATCTTCTTTTTCACCCGATTCTATTCGAATTAGGTACGTACCATTTCTGTCATCTTTCATTTTATCAGATTTATCATATTATAATAGTATTTTATCATATTATAATATCTATTCGAACAATTTCAGAAAGATTCAACATTGAATGGACAAATTGGATGGAAAATCGACAGATAGATTTCCTTCACGTGGGAAAAATCAAATGGAACGAAGATGCACGATCATCATCTTTTTAACGTGTTATCCTTAACGAACCACGGACAATTCGTTCGACACTTTACGATAACATGTTATTTGCATGTATAAGCGGCTCAATCATCCAATAAATTACGAAGTTATTACTTTACGATCTTTCTATATTACGTAATGTACGTAATTACGTGACGTCGCTCGTAGGTGTCATTCATAATCATCGTTATTCGTCTCGTAAATGATATATTGGCGGAGGTGCATTTAAAAGGATCATCGTCTCAAACAATTTTTTCCCTCTTTTTCTTTTTCTCTTTCCTTCTAAACCGAGTCGAAGGCTCACACGTGCTCCTCGTAAAAAGTCGTGAAATCGCACGATCGTAAATATGCTCGATTTATATAAACCATAAAAATCGAATCCTATTACAAAACAGTGACACGCGCGTGGAAAAACGAGAGGAAAAAGATTAAAGAGAGAGAGAAGAGAGAAAGAAGAACATAACGGGATCGTGACGTGTATCTGTTTCATTCCCATTAACCGATTAACCGATTGGCGAAGATCGAACCTTCTCAGTCGTTAAAGCGGATCGATAAAATCCTCTACTAGATATATTCTGTCGGTGAGATAAAACTGTTACGCTCGTAAAATCGATAGAATAACAATTATTAATTTTAAAATTTGCTTGAACACGTGAAACACGTGAAGATACACAGTGTACATTTATTTAATTCTTCGCGTGTTTTAATTTCAAAATATACATTTTGTATTTGATTTTTTTTGTTAGATTTTGAGTGTTTGTCACTCTGTTTTATCACACATGTATATGTAACTTTTAGTTTTAATTTTCCAAATATATTTTAAATAATAAAAAACTTTGTTATTCATTTTGAACACGATTCCTTTTTTCCACAGAATTCATCAATTTATCTCCTCCAATCCTTCCTCCATCGTTCCTCGCCACGATTTAAAAAAAAAACAAGGAAAATCGTTCTTGTTCGAGAAACAAATCGTACAACCGCTTTCCTCGAAAGCAGAAAAAAAGAAAAGTACACGACCTCCTCCCATACCCAATCTCTCCCTCCTCGTCTCTCAAACGAAGACATTCCACTGTGAAATCGTAAATACACAAAGCCAATTCCCTCCCCGCTTTATCGTTGGAGCGCAATCGCGAAACGATCTCGGATCGATACGGCGAGCAGCAGGCCGAGTGGGACGAGAACGAAGAAAAAGAAATCTCGCGCGCTTGAGCAAAGAAGAGAGGAAAAAGCAAAACGAGGCGTATTCGATTCTACTCGGCCATTAGGGCACACAGCATCCACGTGAGCCCCATTCCTGGAGCCCAGGCCTGGTTGCGGTTTCGCGATCGAGGAGCGGTGGATCCACGCCGATCAGAATCTCGTTCCAACGATATCGTATTCGTTTCGTGAAGGCTGCGTTCTTATCCGCCGTTCTTCTCCCTCCAACCGATATTCCATTCCGTTCTCAATTTCAAATACCGGCGATCGTCCAACTTGCAGCATCGATTCGAGCTCGAAGGAACGATAGATCACGCGGATCACTA